CAGATCTGGGAACAAGAAGATATGTTTATTTTCCAACATATAATACATTTAGACATTCACTGCCCAAAAGATATATAGTAGGCAATGAGATATATGGAATCAATACTTGGGAAATATATGTAGTTAAATTAACCGGCTCTATCTCCCAAGATTACTTGCAATTAAAGCCTTCTCTATGACTGTAAAATTAATGGCTTTTATCTGTTGGAAGAATTTCAGAGATAAGAATGTGGCTAAGGGATTTGAGGAAAAAAGTCCCTTTCCGTGTATATAGTAAACTCACAGTACAAGAGACCCAATTTCAGTATTCTTTTTATTGCCATTTAGAATAGCAAAATCTTATTTACTTTATCTGGTTTAATGAGTCTGACGTACTTTCTTCAGGAAAAAAAAATTGAGAATATGACGCCCTTTCCCTATCTTTTCCCTTGTTTTGTATGTGGCTGCAATGACTTGTTTTTTTTATTCAACTGTGCCTACTGCCTGTGTAACATCCTATCATCTCCTCTTAAGGTTTTATTTGTTTGTTTGCCATTTTCTGGCTCTCCTTACTCTGTTTGAGAATTGTATTTTTTTTTAAAAAAACACATCTGTTCAGGGCACCTGGGTGGCTCAGTCAGTTAAGCCTCCGACTCTGGATTTCCGCTCAGGTCACGATCTCAGGGTTGTGAGATTGAGCCCTGTCTCAAGATCCACACCCAGTGTGGCGCCTGCTTAAGATTCTCTCTCTGCCTCTCCCTCTCTGCACCCCACCCTTTAAAATAAATGAATAAATGAATGAATGAATAAATAAAATAAAAATCACACCTATTCAACTTAGTCAAATAACAGCAACAACTGTTTTTTGAACATGTCTTATAAGCCAGACAATGTGTCAAGTACTTTACGTATATTAGCTAATTTAATTCTCAAAATCTTGCACAGTATCTCCATTTTATGATTAAATAAAACTGAACCTCGAAAAGATTACATAATGAGCCCAAAGTCACACAACTGATGGACTGTAGAACTGAGACTTGAACGTAGGTCTGCAGAGCACCAAAATTCGTGCCACACAACTTTAGTTTTTTGCTATCTGTAACAGACCTTTTATGGAATGTTTTACTAAGGTGCTTTCATTCATGCAACAAATATCAGTGCCTACTACATACCTTCAAAACTTCTATAGAAACACTTTTTTTTTTGTAGAAACACTTTTAACAGTCCTTTTCCCCTACTGTTTTGAAACTGGAAAGCTGCATACAGTGCACTTTTTCTCTCCTTTACTTCCTCTCATTAAATGTCAAATTCAATCATGTTATGATTATTATCAGGTAGTGGTTCAGCCACAGCCATTTCCTGCCCAGTTCCTGTTCACCACTCAGAATGAAGTCCAGCATATTTTCTTTCCTAGTACTCTAAAACTACCTGGTCTAGGAAGCAGTCCGTTTTTCTCATGTGAAATCTGATCTTTGTGTCATTTTAGCAATTTGTATGAGAATAACAAGTTGGAATACAAAAGCAGCTTTCCTAAATGGCATTTAATATTTTCAACTTAGATAATTCTGGTCATGAATTTACATGTCATACATGTACATACATACATTACATATAAATCTACATTTATAAATCCAGTGGAAGTATTCATGGGTCTGTGCTAACCTGAAGGGAAGATTTACACATGGGACTTTTTCTCAGATTTTTTAAGAACAGCCCCAATTTGAAACATTCTGTCTCACCGTTACGTCTCAAATTTGGATTCAGAAAAGGCAGTCGGCATATATACAAAGCGTAGTTTGCAACAGTGGCCCTATGTGGCTACATACTCGGTAAAAGGGTTAAGGGAAGCAACAGTCACTTTAAGATTCTTCTTTTTAAAGTAATCCCAAAATACATTCCACAAATTATGTGCAAATGCCTCTAGTGGTGGTGTAAGTCTTCCTTTATAGCTCAGAATGAACTACTGCAATGAAATAATGAAAGTGCTCAGCTGGACACGTTTGGAAAAGAAGTTTTAATTGTCACTGGGGGAAAAAAGTCTTAAACGGTAAATATTAAATAAAAATGTAACAATTCCCAAACCGTTGAGGATTTCCTATAATTTTAATCAAAATTGGGTAGTACTCACCTTGCCTAGCCACATTTATACACAATTACCATTTAAATTTTGGCCTTCACAAATACTTTTTATACAAAGCTACGATTACTTGCCATTCCCTCAACAATCCACATTCCTGTTCTGTGACCCCGCCTCCTGTTCTATCTGTGTAGGATGCCCTCCTTCCCCAACCATGAAAACTACTACTTACCCTTGAAGGCTCCAGTGGTAGCCACACCTCCAAACCCTTCTCCACTCCGCCTCTGAATATTATTCAGTCTTCTTTATTCAGGGCTTACCAGTGTGCCAGTACTTTACATATTCTGTTTAATGCTTAATACTCTGCTTTGAAGTAATTCATCTCACTTAACAGATAAGAAAACTGAAGCTGAAAAAGGTTTACTATCATGTTAAAGGTCACAAAGCCAAACAGGAATTCAAATGCTGCTATGCCTAAACTTCAACTGAATTCTCTTCTATTAAATCACAAACTCTATGGCACTCTTCTATAGTATACACTGTATTGTATTATGATTATTTGTTTATTTCTCTCCCCCACTAACGACAGGACAGGTGACTCCATCCTTACATCCCCAACAATACTCAACAATGCCTACTATACAGTGACTCAAAGTGTTACTGAATATGTACAATATTCTTACTCAGTTTATGACTTTGCAGCATTAGTTTTCACTGATTAGTCTCCTTTGTACCAGGTCTCTACGAAGCCACTGTGGTGGTAAAACATACTGGCTTGGAATTTAGGCTTTGTAATCAGATTGCCTGGATTTGAATCCCACCTCCACCAACTTATGAGCTGAGAAATCTTGAACAAATGAGTTAACCGAAGTTTTGGTTAACTCATCTATAAAACAGAACAGTAATCACAGTACATGCCTCACGGCATTATAAAGATTAAACAAGACAGTATGGAAGCAATCCAACTATTTTTCGATCCTCATTTTTTCTACATGCCACCCTAAATTTTCTTTGGCTTAGTCTAGTGTAGCCTTTTTAATTACAAATTCCTTGAAATTTTATTAAATGGGGTGGCAAAAAGGTTCATAGGTTTAAAAATTGTTCAGGCCAAAAAAAGTAAAATAAAATAAAATTGCTCAGGCCAGGATGCCTGGCTGGCTCAGTCAGTAGAGCATGTGATTCTTGATCTCAGGGTTGTGAGTTCAAGCCCCACATTGGATGTAGAGCTTACTTAAACCAAACAAATAAACATTTAAAAAATAATAATAGAATAAAAAAATAAAAATTGCTCAGACCACCTACTTGATTTTTAGGGCCAACTGTCCACTGCCAGTTTGGACTCAAAAAAGAGTTTACTCTGGGAGGTTTGACTATACAAGAGTGCCCCCATTATACTTTTTTTCTCTTACTATGTTTTCATGGCCTATCAGAAAGTGGTAAAAGTCAGAAAAGACACTTTCTACCTTACTAACACCTAACTTAATACTATTTGATGCATGCACACAACTAACCTGCATGGGAGACAGGCTATTTCCCCAGCCAGAAATTTTCCTGGAACCACCTTGTGTCTGGTCTCAGGCATGGCTCATTCTCCTCAGACCTCTAGATTGCTTTCCTCTGGAATCTGGAGGCTGAGCCACTATAACTGAACATTTCCTTCTCTTAAACTTAGCAATGTTTACTCCAAGAAGTTAGGATTTCAAATTGTTATGCTATTTTACAGCTCTTTAGGCTAAAGTGCATGGTTTCCAAATTCTCAGAATGCTCCCTTCCAACTTTAAAATGCTATGAAAAAATCCAGCTGGGGAGGAAACAAAATTTTTTTAAAACATACATGATCTCTAATAACAAGAGCAAATAAAGTGGCTATGCCCAAAGTCTTAGGGGGGAAAAAAAGAAAAATCCTAAAATATCTAGTTGGCTCAAGCTAACCAAAAACTATAAAATCAAAGCACACAATTAACAAAATAACCTCAAAGTAGGCAGGATATACCATAAACAAAGACAGCAAGTATAAATTACAAAATATTTAATAATTCACGAATTTAAAAACTACTTGGTATATAAATACTTAGATTAATAAATTATTCCAGATTCTGTACTTCCCAGTCAGTACATGGTGATATAAAGCAGTTCTTTTTTTTTTTTTTGATCAGGCTAAAAATAAAGAGTGATGGATCAGTGACAGAATGATCTCCGAAGTTATAGAAGGAGGTTGAGTTTAAAAGTCATGACTCGAAGGAACAATACCAAAATACTGGCTGTCAATATCAGGCAGATAAAAATAAGAAAAGGTAAAGCAAGCTGATGGACTGCAGTATTGTTTCCAGAGGGGAAAACAGCCCTTAAGGCCCCTGAGAGAATTTCAGCACCCGCTCCGCAGTGCTGGAATCAGAACTAAACTGTTGCCTGCTCAGTGGGTGCAGGGCAAAGACCCTCCCTCCAGCCTGCGTCTTGCGTGCGCACAGTCGCCCCCTCCGCCCGAGCCCACTCCTCCGGCGGCTAGCTGACCTCCCCCGCCCGCCCGGGCTCCGCCACCCGATGCCCCTGCACGCCCTCCAAGACCCGGCGCGCCCCCAGCACAGCGCCAGGGGAAGGAAGCGGAGGAGAGGGGCCGCGAGAGGGGGCGGAGGGGCGGGAGGCGGCGCTGAGCTTCGGCCCGTCACCATTTAGGCTCGAGGACGGCACGGGCTCGGGAGGAGGGAGGCTGAGCCTCTGCCACCGGTCAAATGATGGGAGGGGACCGCGGTTGCCCCCGGCACGCAGGTGCCAGCGGCTGCCGGGGAAGTCACCGGCGGCGTAGGGCGATGCGTTGGCCCCGGAGCCCCCACCTCCATCCTGCCCTCCGCTTTCCTCCCTCGTCCTGCTCCATCCCCAGGATTCTGTCAGAACCCAAAGACCTCCACACGGCCCGCCCAAGCACGGAGGTGATGCCGGCTCTTACCGTAGGAGCGGGCGCCGCGCCGCTAGGAGGCGGCTGGGGTGCGCGCGGGAGACTCCGAGGCGAGCGCCGCCGCCGCTGCGGGAGCCGGAGGAGTCACAACGAGGCTGCCGGCGGGAGCGCTGCCTCCACAGCTGTCGCCCCACCCCCTCTCCCGCAGGATTTTGCGCCGGAGCGGGCAGTCTCCGCGCGCTGGCGGGGAGGGCGAGAGAAGGGGCGGGGCGCCCCTCGGGGGCGGAGCCGAGCGTTGGCTGGTCTGATTGGCATCTGTGGGGCCAATGGGACCACGGATACTCCAGGCTGTGCTTAGACTGACTTTCCTCCTAGCCCGTAGCGGTAGGGAGGCGGGCCTAGTGGCTTCTTGTAGAGCAGCCTTTTTGACAAACCCGAACGTAAGAAAAGGTCGGTTGGTTCGCACTGGTGGCCAAATGGTCCAATTACCACAGGGAAAAGGGCCTCTGAAACTAGATTGGCATCCTCTCTACCTATAGGTAGAGAGGGTAGACCCAGGGGCGGTGGGAACCTGCCCCGGATGTGGGTGTGGCCCTGAGGTAGAACACAGAGCCACCACCGCGGTGGTTTGGGGAGGCGGAACTGAGGTCTTTTTCTTGATTATCATGTGACGGGTTCTGGATTTAATGGAGGAGAAAGCGTGGAAAAGGCCAAGGATCCAAACTGGCGAGTTTTCTGATCTTCGCGCCCCTCCCCGCTCTCCGGCCAGCGGCGCTGCCAGGTGAGTCCCGGGCTCCAGTGGGCCGGCATTCTCCCGAGGTGCATTTGCCCACCCGGTGCCCCGGAGCTGGCTTCCCGATGCCTCAGGGGGTTTGTCGCTGCCTCCCACCCCTTTACACTTCCTGCCAAACGTACAGACACCTGCTTGGCACCAGGCTTCTGCGTGCGTTTTGGATCGTGTGCAAGAAACCGCGTTCAGCTCCCAAAATGTGCTGGGCCCAAAGCGCAGAATGGGAATAGTCCGAATTAGGGCGAACCGTAGGTGTAGGAAGACTGAGGGCGAGGATAGTTTAGGAACGTCCTGAAGTTCTAGGGACAAGTAGGCCCAAAAATCATGTAAGTTGTAAGCAGAACGCTGTTCCTCTGAAGGAGGGTTAAGTTCGACAAGGCTGTTGAAGCAGGAGCCTTTCGAAAGCGACTCATTATTTAGAGGAATTGTGTTGTGGGCTCATAAGCAAAACTGTCTTTGGGATGGGGTGAGTTCATTTGGAAGAGTGCTGGCAGTAGCCAGAGAAGGAAATGGGGGTTGTGTAGAACGCACTGTGGGCAAATTAATGAGTGCACACACAACTGCTAGATGCTGGAATTGTGGGCAGAGCCCTTTCGATTTCCATCTTGGGACAATGCAGAAGATTTTGACAATGGATGAGAAAGCATATGAACTAATACTTAACTATCTTCCTGGTACCAGAAGTAGTCACCTCAAATAGGACTTTACTAGAGCAAATTTTTGTTTTGGAGCATGCAGCCCCCTCTGTTGAGATAAAAGACGGCCAGTAGTAGGAAATAAATTACTTCAATTAATGAAGATTTATGAACAAGTAAAATTGGCGTTGTAACGCCCTGCATCTAGAATTCTTCAAACCTCATTTAAATATCGGCATAGTGCTTCCCAGTTGAGGGCATTTTAGTATAAGTGCATACAGAACTTTGTTGCATCCCACATTATAAAACTTGAAGCCACAGGACTGTGCTCTATCATTCTTCCATCTCCATCCCTAAAGTACCTATGTTGAGTGCAGCAACCGTTTCTATGAGCAGTTGCTTACTCAGTCCTATATGCAGAAATTTGAACCCTGACTTACCCAATGGCTGATGGAAAAGTTGTGTTTAAACAAGTGTATTGGGGCGCCTGGGTGGCTCAGTCATTAAGCGTCTGCCTTCGGCTCAGGTCATGATCCCAGGGTCCTGGGATGGAGCCCCTCATCAGGCTTCCTGTTCAGTGGGAGGCCTGCTTCTCCCTCTCCCACTCGCCCTGCTTGTGTTCCCTCTCTCACTCTGTCAAATAAATGAGTAAAACCTTTTAAAAAAATAAGCAAGTGTATTATCATAAACTTTTTAAACGTTCACAAAAAATGGTCAGATAGATTGGAGATCAGGTTTGAGCAAACTTGATTTCCAGCATGAAATCCATTTGTCGTTAATAATCAGTTCACACCCTTTGCACCTCTTCTTCCAAATTCAGCCCCATATCCCACCATGGCAGCCTTTGGTCAGGAAAGGCGACCTGGAGAAAATGCCCTCCTGGGAGCAAAAGCATCTGCTTTTCATACTGCAGTATGAAGCATCCGATCTGCCAGCTAAGTAAACAAGTGCTAGCAGATGGGTGTCGGGAAAGGGGATTTAGGAGATCCGTAAGTCACTATTATAGTAAAACAGATATGCACTCTTGCCCCATGATAGCCACCCACTCTTTAAAGTAGTAGAGGTGTAGCAAACAATATCAAAATTAGTTTTTTTTTTTTAAGATTATTTATTTGAGAGCGAGAACGAGCGGGGGAGGGAAGAGGGAGAAGCAGACCTCCCACTGAGCAGAGAGCTTGATGTGGGGCTTGATCCCAGGACCCTGTGAGACCATGACCCCAGCCAAAGGCAGATGCCCAACCAACTAAGCCACCGAGGCGCCCCTCAAAGTTAGTTTTAAAATATAATTAATTAAACATGCTAGTCGAGGGCATTTTATTCATCTAGCCAGTTTCTTCACTTTTTCCTTGTTTCTTATTTCTTCCTGCATTTTTACTCCTACCCCTCATGCTTTTGCTACCCCACCACCTTCTGATGTTTACCTCTTTCCATCAGGTATCCTCTCTCCGTCTCTCTCTCCTTTGTGGCCTATTTCCCTCAGTTTATAATCATATTTAGATTCTTCCTTTACTGAAAAATTTCTTCCTGACCCTTTCTCAATCTCATTATATGTCTTGTCTTTCATCTTCTCTTCTTCAAATGTTTCAGAGGAATAAAGTGTTGTCAACTGTTTACATTTTGCTAACTCCTCACCCAACTGCTGCAGTCTGGCTTCTGATTTCCATTCTACTTACCCTTTTTCCAAATGGTCACAAGGTTGTTATAAAAAGCTTGAACAAGTATAGAACATACTATCAACCCCGTATGTGAAGACTAAATAAATGCTTATACCTATGTATTATAGATTAATGTGTCCCAATCAAACTTCCAAGTTTTTAAGAATTAATGGTTTTAGCAGTGAAAAAAAAATGAAAGGGCAAAATATTCTGGAAAAGAAATCCATGAGTAGTAGGCACTAGTCCTTTCAGATATTAGAGTATATCCTAGAACATACCTAATCATAGTCATATAGTACTAGTGCAAAACAGAAATATAGGTCAGTAGGACAGATCTATAGACAGATCTTATATTTTAGGGATGTAAGAAATAACTTTCCGTTGCCTGGCTGGCTCAGTTGGTAGATCATGCAACTCTTGATCTCAGAGGCCTAAGTTCAAGCCCCACATTCTTTAAAAAAAGGAGAGAGAGAGAGAGAGAAAGAGCCTAAATTATTGAATAATTTAGCATCTAATAATAACAAAATGTCAAAAGTTTAAGTGGTCTTGATTATTGGATAGCAAGTAGCAAAAAATCAGGATTTATACCACAAACCAAAAAATATATAATGAGTAGTATTAAAAAGAAAAATTCAGACTAATAGGTATTTATAAGAATTGCCTTGAGAAAATTGAATTTAAAAAGACCCACAGACTAAGCTGTGTGAAAATCCAGTATTACCAATATATTTTGTATTATTTAGCCCAAAGATCTCCTCACACTCTTAATTCTATTTAATATCTGAATTTTTGTTAACCATTCCCTCCTTATTAAAACTCGCCTCCCTTGACCTGATAAGCACTTCCTCCTTTTTCACTACTTTTTGAATGCTTTTTCTTAGTACATCTTGAAATTGAATGAAAATTTATAGATGTACAGATGTACAAAAAGAATTTAAGAATATCCCTGAGGTACAGGAATAAAGTCATGAGTACCTGGACTTGAGTGACAGCAATGAAAAGGAACAGACTATTCTTGAGACATTTTGAATAGAGCTTACGCCCAGTTGATATACTAAAAGTTTTATTGTATTTTGTCATGGGCTATAAGGAATGATGAATGTAATGTTGTCAAAGATGTCTACAAATTTTACAGGGTTTGAAAGGAAGAATAGAATGTTTTCAAAATTAGGAAATCTCTGAGTGGGGAAGAACAAGCTTTGTTCACCAGGAATGGAAGTGATTTTTTTTTTTCTGGTATCAAAACAATCCTGACTTTTTTTCCTTCTCTTAGGGTATATTTCCCTTTTTTCGACTCTGCAACAGCCTCTTTAAACTGTTTAAATGAGAATGTCCTTGGCTCAGAGAGTACTACTCACCTGGCTTTTCACATTACTCTTCTTGATCATGTTGGTGTTGAAACTGGATGAGAAGGCACCTTGGAACTGGTTCCTCATATTTATTCCAGTCTGGATATTTGATACTATCCTTCTTGTTATGCTGATTGTGAAAATGGCTGGGCGATGTAAGTCTGGCTTTGACCCTCGACATGGATCACACAATATTAAAAAAAAAGCCTGGTACCTCATTGCAATGTTACTTAAATTAGCCTTCTGCCTTGCACTCTGTGCTAAACTGGAACAGTTTACTACCATGAATCTGTCCTATGTCTTCATTCCTTTATGGGCCTTACTGGCTGGGGCTTTGATAGAACTTGGATATAACGTCTTTTTTGTGAGAGACTGACTTCTAAGGACATCATTCATTTTATTGCCGTTCAACAAGCTATCATTAAAGTGTTCTGAATCCTTGCAAGCTTGAAGAATACCAGAGAACTGAGAAAATAACCAAATGTAGTTTTATACTGCTTCCATAAAATAGTCTTTGTGAATCATGGACTTCTAGTCAATCCAAAGCTTATTCAATATTTCAGTTATTAATATCCTTATTATCCCTATATAAATAAAGTTTGTTTTTGACCTTATTTTTCTACTTGACTCTTAATAATCTGTTGTACATATGTGGTCAATTTTTAAAGTATATAAATAAGAAGTCTTTAATCTACATTATTTGG